TTATTGTCCTAGTTTGCTCTTCATTGCTGTGACAAAATACTCTGACCAATACCAACTTGGAGAGGAAAGGGTTTATTCAGCCAACATCTCCCAGGTCACAGTTCATTACCCCAAGGTAGGAATTCAGGGCAGGAACCTGGAAGCAGGAGCTGGAGCACACGCCATAGAGGAACGCTGCTTACTGGCTTGCTCCCCTGGCCCCTGCTCAGCCTGCTTTCTTATACAATCCAGGCCCACCTGCCCAGGGGTGGCACCACCCACAGTGAGCTGGGTCCTCCCACATCACTCATCAAGAAGATGCCCTTCAGACATGGCCACAGGCCAGTCCAATAGAGGCAATTTCCCGACTGAGGCTCCCTCAACCCAGGTGTGTCAAGTTGACACTAAAGCTATCCAGCACACATTTCAAAAACTAAAAATATCGGAGACTTCATAGATTACTCTTGCCTGATAGTCCAGTATCACAAGGAAAAGCTAACAGGAACAATACTAACAAAGATGCTTTTCTATAGTTAGTGTGTGGCTGTCCTAAGGGCCCTTCAAAGTCATTCTGGGCTGAAGAAATCACACATTCAAAAAAGCACACTTCATTCTGCTGGCTCATCAACTGTGCTTCCTACAGGTGTCCTGTCATCTATGTCAGTTGTTCACCAAGTGTGATCCCTGGACTAACAGCATCAGCAGTACCTGGGTGCTCGTTTAGAAATTCAAATTTGGGGGGCTGGAGAGGTGGCTCAGCAATTAATAGCACTTACTAATCTTGCAGAGGACTGGGTTCTGTTCCCAGCCCTCACATAGTGGCTAATAACTATCTGTAACTTCAGTTCCAGGGGATCTGACACCCCCTTTTGGCTTCCTCAGGCACTGCATGAATGTGGTGTACTTACATGCTGGCAAAACACACACATAAAATAAGGTTTACTCAAGGCAACACCCTGAGAAGATGGGGGGGGCGCTCTCACCTCCCCTCAACAAAAGAACACCTTGAGAAATTCAGGCACACATACAGAGAAGCAGAAAAGTGTGATGGGACAGTGGACAAGGTGAGGTGCTGTGCTGTGAGCCAGGGCTGGTGGTTTTTTCTTTGGCAGCAACATGCAAACTTTAGACTTCCTGAGGAATTTACCATAATTTTTTTAGACAAATGCATTATTTTTCTGCAAGTCAAGCATCATTTTACACATTAGAAATAATGTAAAGAGCATCAGATGTTCTGGGCTGTATAAAGATTAAGTCATCTTTGGAAGTAATGTGCAATAAATTGAAGCTTTCTTTTAGCATTTGGAATACCAAAGGAGTAAGTTAACTCAAAGACCAATTCACCAACCAGGAAGCCACAGCTCCATAGCTGGTGTAGCCTCAGGGCGAGGAGATGAGGCAATTTGCTGTGGGTATCCTGCCATCCAAGATCTTTTATCTCCTCTCCTAACCCTGCCAAGGGCTAGAGTGGATTCTAGAGAGGAAATGGCATTTATCCTATGCTGTGTGTAATCTGAAGCAAAAAGGTCTCATAGAGGTAACTATTTGGGTGACAAGTATATTTCTGCATTCTCAGTTCAAATCCTGGCTCCACTCCCTACTGTTTCTCATTCCTCTCTAATAGGAGAGCTGCTAATGGTAATGGAGGTTAAGTGTGTGATACATAGGTGACTCAGGCTGCACAGCTATTGTTACAATGAAACTTTTCTTTCCTAGGCTCTATTTTGCTAGAAATACCAAGGTAGGAATTGCTTCAGTTAGTCTTACTAGGCTGAAAGGACAAAGACCAGGTTCACCTGCTGCCTATCTACTTATGTCAGTACAATTCGATGAAGTTTAAAGAAGTTTTAAGACATCCTCTAAATTCTGACTGTATTTTATGACAGCCTCTATATTCATAGTTTCAGAGCAATACACTTCATTAACTGCTGGTGATGGGGGTTTGGCAGATTTACTCCTGCTAATTCTCACTTTAATCCTTATGGCAAATTTTGTTAGGTGCTGCAGCACAGCTCAGCGCATTACACAAAAAAAATGAAGCCTAGGTCTCCTCCAAATGTAATTAATGCAAAGGTTAGCATTAATGACTTAAAAACTTAGATTTTCTCCAAAGTCAGGTCAATCTCATTTCCTCTATCAGTTCAAAAAGACTACTTTAAGCACCTTAATAAATGACATTGTCACTTTAACACATGCTAAACTGAAGTGCCAACATCCCTGAAAGTATTCCTACAGTAGAGAGTAGCCTTGGTAAGCTAGATAAGCTACAAGCGGCCTTCTGATTTTGTACATATCAAAGGTGTCTGGCTTTTAAGTGTACTCACAGGATTTAGTTTTACTCTGAACTTCCTATGGTGTGGTATTAAACAGTCTTGTACCTGCATCTCCAGACCTCTGAAAACTCTTGCTGGCAGGAAATGTTTTTTGTTACTTGGAACAAGCCCCCTTTGGACGTACCAGCTTTTACTAATGAACTGACTGCTGGTAGAGTATGTTACCCCTAGAGACAGCTTCAAGATGAGTACAAGACATCAGAGGAGCCAACCATAATAAACAGCTTCAACTGTCAGCTCCCTCTGACCCCCAGCCTTCCTAGGAAAGCAGAGATGCTGGAGACTGAATTGACCAATAATTTTATCAGCCTAGGCTATGGAAGCTTTCTTCAATTAAGGAGAAACAGGTTGTTGAAAACATCAATGTGCTGGAGGGTAGTAAACAAGGACACTCCACGTCCACATTTTATTTATGCATCTCTTTCATTTTTGTTCCTGAGTTGTATCCTTGTCTTCAAAACTGCAATTGGTTAAAGTTCAAGTATTGTGTTTTCTTGACTTGTGAGATGTTTGGTGGCATTACTGAACTTTGGGGTGGAGTTCACAGACAACCCTAACTTATAGTTGGCTGAGCATAAATGCTTGTAGTTTGTTGACTGAATTTGTGGCTGTGTGTGAAGTGGGAGCAATGTGAGCATTTGATTTGGGGGACTTTGCTCTAAATGTGGATGATCAGCATTGAATTGCTGGGCACTCAACTGGTGTCCAGGAAGTGCTGTCTATCTGTAAGGCTGAATACTGCACTCCACTCTGCAGCTACCATACCTAACAGACTTAGCTGAAAGCCCCAGTAGGAAAATGCTCAGAACAAATACCCAGTTTAGTACTTGGAGCAAATGCATATTTGTTTTTAAAAACTGTTACACGCAAAACGTTTTGCAAACTACAAAGTACTATTCAGCCAAAAGCTTATCCCTAATGGGCTGCTTTCCTCACCTGCGTTGTGAACATACCAACAGCCTTTTGGGAACAGAAGGAGCTACAGTCACCTCTCTTTGAGAGGCTTTGCCAAACATGAAAACACAAATGATAATACTTTAAAGTGCCTTTGCCTCTGATCTCGTTTTGTGGTCACTGCTTTCAAAAGAGATTATGCTTAAAATAAACTTTGTTTTATACCTTGGCTAAGGGCAAAGCATGTATTTTCAGCATTTGAAAATCACTGGACCCTAGCCAGCAGTTTACATGTTTGAGGCTGTAATCTGCCAGAGTTTTAAAAAAACCAACTATAGTTAGCTCAGTATTTTCTAACTTCAAAGAAAACAAAATACAGGGACTGGAGAGACAGCTCAGCAGTTAACAGCACTGACTGGCAGCTCTTGCAGAGGATCCAGGTTAGGTTTCAAGCATCCACAAGGCGGCTCACAACCTTATCAGTAACTCCAGTTCCAAAGGATCCAATGCCCTCTTCTGGCCTCAGCAGGAATTGTACATACATGCTGCACTACAAGCAGGCAAAACACTCATATATATAAACTAAAAATAAGATATTGTAAAACAAATACATGAACTTTGAGGTAGGCACTTAACCAAACAGAACATACTTGAAATCCATACGACTTGTCTTGATTTTAAAATAAAAGACCCCTTATTCCTGAAATAGCTGCAATTTCTGTGTTATCATTTAATGCCAGGATTTCTAAAGGGGCGGCTAAAAAAACCTCCACTTGCTCTTGTGCTATGTTAAGAACTACAATAAATATAAACAACTTCTTAAAAAAAGCTAATTTTGGGGTATGAATGTATTGAGAATTTTATATCTTAATGAGTCATGTTAATACAGACGCAAAAGTACATGAAAAATCTCTGACCGTATTCCAAGTTACACATTAGTAATTAAAAAATAAGAGCCATGAACACATAATTTTAAAGTTTACTTTAAAAATGTAAATATTTCCCAATATTTAACAGGTAAAGAAAATAGCATATTGATTTTATGTGATTATACTTTATTTTCCAAGTAATACTGATTAAAAATATTTACACACCTACTTTTAAGTCCATAGTTTAGCACTCTTATTTGTATGGCTTTAAAAGTTATAGCACAAAATCTTTACATTAAGGACTGGGGGGAAAAGATTCCATTCAAAACAAAGCCTGATATATTATATACATGTTTTTCCTCTGTACTTTATTTTAAATACATTTAATTTTTAAATGACACTCATCTATGCTTTTTTCCATCTGGTGGTAAAATATTAGTGCAATTTCTCATCAAAATAAAGTTTACCACAGATGTAAACGAATTTTCCCAATTGAAAATGGCCCTTCAGCTGCCAGTAAATGAAAAATTTTCAGTGTAACAAACGAGAAAGAATTGGTAGTTGTCATTATAAGCAAAAATACAAAGTACTATAGCACTGTTTGCACTGCTCCTTAAAACACAAACTTTGAAAGAACCAGAGATGATTTACAGAAGTTTAGTTGGTTTTGAAAAGGCACATGGGTGTTTTTGTTTTTCTTCTATTTTTTTGTTTTAAACATTCTAGAAATTTTGCCATCACCACCATTTCTGTTGTGGAGACAGCATCTGTAACCACTGGGATAGACGAGAATGTTGTTCAAAAGAAAGCAAGCCAAACCCAAGATTTAACTGCACAGTAACAATGCGCTTTTCTTCATGCAGTCTTTTGTGTCCTACAGATTCAATTTTCTAACATGCATTAGAATACATAAGTATTCTAATGGTTTATGTATGATTTTACACTATGCAGAGAATTTGAGGAAGGACATGACCTGGGGAAGAGAAAAGGGAGACCCTTACCACAATGAAAATAGGTACATTCATACCCAACCATATAAGAATATAATCCACTTAAGTTACCAGAAAGACATGTCTCAAAGCTCCCACTCACGAGAAATAACCCCACTCTATGGCATTAACTGGAAGGAGGGGCATCAGTTTGTTTCTAAAGGAACAGTTTAGTACAACAGGAAATAGTTTAACTTTGGTCCACTTATCTGTTAGCTTACAGACAGTCACACTGCCCATCAGTTCACCAGATGTGTAAATCTAGAAACAGACTCATTTGTTATTTCATTCTAAAACTGGTAGAGCTGTTCTGTCATTCTCGGCTTTTCCAGCCTGGGAATACCCTCTTGGTTTGGTCTCTAAACGCTCAGCGTCTTCAAGATCTTCCATGGCAGGCTCAGCAGCATCTGTGTGGCTAGGCTCTCTCTCCTCTTGGCTCATGATTTCGGGGGTCATGTGGTCCAAGTCTGCTTCCAGAAGCTCAGTTTGTACTTCGACTGGCATCTGATTTACCCGCTCAACATGGAGCTCCTCCACATGCACTTCAGTACCTTCTTCAGTCTGAATCCGACCCACTTCCAGGTAACTCACTTGGACCTGTTCTGGAAGCTCACTTATATGTGCATCATGCACTTGGCTGTCCTGGAGCAGATCTGGATGGACTTGTTCCACAGTTACTTGTGCTGAATCCACCTGGACCTGAAGCAATGGTAATACGTGCACCTTCCCAACTTGTTCTATAATAGTCATTGATGTCACTGGTTCAGTTTGCACATGTGTTTCTACTGAAAGGACTTCTTCAGTTACTAGACGCTCTGAAATATTGTGAGCATCACTAAGATGCCTCCTTAGTTCATTTCCTTGCATAAACCATAAGTCACATAGAGTACAATGGTTGGGTTTATCTCCAGTGTGTATTACTAAGTGGTCTTTAAACTGGTCCCAGCTGTTAAACACACTGTTACAGACCTGAAATAATCAAATGTAATATGTTAACAATACTTACACTCAAACTGAAGTAAAAATAGATATTTAGTCTCTATAAAACAATACACTGGCTGGGCGTGGTGGCATATGCCTTTAATCCCAACACTAGGGAGGCAGAGGAAGGCGGATCTTTTTGAGTTTGAGGCCAGCCTGGTCTACATAGTGAGTTCCAGGACAGCTGGAGCTACAGGGAGACCCTGTCTCAAAAAGACAAAAAAAAAAACAAACACAACCCCAAAACAACAACAACAACAACAAAATACATTGAAGGGTAGAGGTTAGCACAGCAGAGTGCTTGCCTGGCATGTACAGGGCACAGGATCCAATCCTCAGCACTGCGAAACACAAAACAAAACAAAGAATACATTTAAAAGGGCTGGAAGGAGCTGGAGAGCTGGCTGGGGGTTAAGAGCAACTGGATGCTCTTGCTGGTTTGGTTCTCAGCACTCACACGGCAACTAACAACTGTTAACTCCAGTTCCAATGGATCCAATACCCTCTTCTGACCTCTGCGGGCAGTGCATATACATAGTGCACTTATATACATGCAGGCAAAACACCAATACACATAAAATAAAAATATGAGTAAGAGCTGAATATGAGGCCCTAGGTTCCATCCCCAGCATAACAAACAAAAACCACACAATACCACCATTCACATGGGTAAGTTAAAAAGTTTTAGGAAGATGTTCTAAGTAAGGCAGTCACAGAATTTAGTGCAAATCTATTTCAAACACTTTGTTTCATTTGGTCTTTCAGCAGATACATCTAACAACTTAATAGATTCTGGGAAACATTTCAATATGCCCCGTTTAAGTATTAAATATAAAGCAATAATACCATAATTTCTACCATAATTTCAAGATTTAGACCCACTACATTATTTGGGATAAAAACACTAATCACAGAAGATGACACAGTTGTAACTGGTCTGCCTTCTCTGCCTCTCTTGAAATTTCTAATGGTTGTTCCTACAGTTAAGAATAACTCTAATTATGGACAGGTGAGACAGTTCAGTGGGTAAAGGTATTTCACATTAAACCTGACAACCTGAGTTCCATCTCCAGAATCCACATGGTGGAAGTAGAGAACCGACTCCTTCAAGTTGTCCTCTGACCTCTACACACACCTTTTGGTATGTGTACCCCCACTGTGAATAAATAAATAAATGCAAAAATGTAAAAAAAAAAAAAAAAAAAAAAAAAGCTTCTAATTCCTCACAAACCAGGTGCATGCCTCAGCACTCTGGGGATCAAAGTAGGAGGATCATAAACTCAAGGTTCTTCTTTGCTACAAGTGAGCTTGAGGCTAGCCTAAGATAAATGAGGCCCTGTCTCAAAGAAACAAAAACAAAACACTATTTTCTAAGAAAAGGGAGGTGGGGGAACGACGACAGAGACTTTCCAGTGTTTCAGAGTACCTACTATGTTAAGACACATTTTTTTTTAACTGACATTAATGTCATCTAGGGTTGAGTAAAAATATTACTCTAATCCCCCTTATAAAATACATACACTGTTCTTTATTCTCAAGTCTTTGCAAAGCTCTATAGCTTGCATGAGATTCTGAACTCCTTGATTTACCAAAGTTGCATTCTGATACACCCACTATAATCTTGCAAGTCAAAAATACATTAAATACACCATAGCTTAGTAACACATAGCAGGCAGTCCAACTTTTTGACACTGCAAGACTATTTGTCATCTACAAAGTTCACAATATGAGCTAGGCAGGTTTTTTTTTTTTTTTCTAACAATGTTCTAAATAATTTTACAATTTTGTGTTGGCCTACATTCATAACTATCCTAGGGCCACAGGATGGATGCACCATGAACTATCAGTTGTTTGTAGCTGTGAATGCACAGCTGACTAGGAGCTGGAGCTGCTGCTGCTGCCTAGTGTCACAAAAGAACATCCTACTGTGCATCACTAGCTCAAGAAAAGATCAAATTTCAAAATTCCAAGAATGGTTTCTGCTGAAGGCATAAACCTTTTGCACCACTGTCAAGTCAAAAACTTCCAAGTCAACCCTGGTTAAGTCCGAAACTATTTACTCTGCACCTCTAATGATGGCAAACACATTCCTTTGGTAAGAACAAAATACACTCACACATACCTGGCATTCATAAAGCTTCTTCCTTCCCTTTTTTGCCCCTACTCCGGTTTGGCATGCAGTGAGGTGACATTTGAGAGTGCTATTTCTAGCAAATCGTTCATGACAATTTGAACATTCAAAAGGTTTTTCACCTAATGTAAGAAAAAAACACATTAACAAATTTAAAAATCAGCAAAGGCAAATTTAGTTTATTTTTTGATTATTTGCAGTGCTAGGAATCAAACCATAGGCCTGACTCATGCATGCCAGGCAACTGATCTACTATTGATAAACTATACCCCCAGTTCCTTTTGTTAACAGCATTTTTTCCTTCCCGTGTGTGTGTGTGTGTGTGTGTGTGTGTGTGTGTTTAACTATGTAGCTCTGCCTGGCCTGAACTCACCATGTAGACTAGGCTGTCCTCATACTTGTCATTCTGATTGAGCTTCTGCCTCCCAAGTGCTGAGATTATGGGTATGTGGCACCACACCTGGCTTTCTTTCCTACGTAAATATTTTGTGTGTATGAGTGTATTGTCTGCATGTAAGTGCACAATGCCCGCAGAGGTCAGAAGAGGGCATTAGACTCCCCTGGGAGTGGAGTTGTAGACAGTTGTTAGCCACCATGTGGGTACTGGGAATCAAACCCGAGTTGTCTGCAAGAGCAGCAATGCCCTTAACTGCTGAGCCGTATCTCCAGCCTCTTGTCTCCAGGCTGGCCTCAAACTTGCAGTCCTCCTGACTCAGTCTCCCAAGTGCTTCAATTATAGGCATGTACCACATGCTTGGCTTAATAACACATTTTTTTTTCTTCTTTTTTGGTCTTTTTGAGACAGAGTCTCGCTGTAGCCCCAGCTGGCCTGGAACTCTCTATGTAGAACTCCCAGAGATCTGCCTGCCTCTGCCTCCTGAGTGCTGGGATTAAAGGTGTGTGCCACCTCGTCTGGCTTAATAACACATTGGTAAGAGAGGGAAATCGATGTTGTTACACCTGAAATTACTTTCCTTACTTATTAATTCTAGCATTCAGGAGGCAGAGGCAGACTGATATCTGTGAGATCAAGGCCAGCAGCCAGTCAGGTCTACATAGCAAGTTCCAGACCACCTGGGGCATCAAGGAGACCCTGTCTTAAAAAACAAACCAAACAAAAAGAAAACAAGCAAGCAAAAACTACAACAAAAAGAAAGAAACAAACAAAAACCCCAATTAATCTCTATTTTATGGAAATGTAGCACTATCCTTCCCCCAAGCACTTTTCCCCGACACTTACCATGTACCAGACCATGTATTAGGTGATGAAGATGAAAGGTAAATAAGCTGGACATGGAGGCATACAATCCCAATGCTCAATACTAGGAGGCTGAGGCAGAAGATTCTTAGTTTGAGGCAAACCTGGGCAATACAAGACTCTCTCTCTCAAAAAAAAAAAAAAAAAAAAAAAAAAAACCAACTAAACTAATAAAAAAAAAAACAAAAAGATAAGTAAGCTGCTGTTAAATTTTTTCATGAGAGAGATGAAAATAAATGTGAAGCCCTGGAGACTATTTATAAGAGAGCTAGGAAGAAATGCTGCAGCAGCAGAAAGGAGGGCAATTCTGCCTGGAACAGAATGAGATAACTAACTGAACAGACCAATCAGAGGCAGAGAGTTAAAACTGCACGGTGAATTTGGGTAAGGAAGGAAGGATCAAGTACAACTCCTTGGTCTCTGGCTTAGAATGCCACGTAGTACCAAGAACCCAGGAGTTCAAGATCTGTCTGTGGTGGGTGTGCTGGGAAAGAGCACAAATTTTAGTTATATGTGCTGAGTTCAAGTACTCAGAGCAGTGTTGGGGATGTAGTTGAGTTGAAAAGTGCTTGCCTAGCACGCACAAAGATCTGGGTTTGAGTCCTAGCACATCATAAACTAGGAGTGGTGGTACACATCTGTTATCCCAACACCTGGGTGATGTAGGCAGAAGGGTCAGAGGTTCAAGTCATCCTGAGCAGCATATTAGGTTTAAGGCCTATCTGGATGGGAGTCATGAGACTGGACCTCAAAAAAAAAAAAAATTGACTATTTTTTTTTTTTTTTTTTGTCTTTTTGAGACAGGGTCTCCCTGTAGCCCCAGCTGTCCTGGAACTCACTATGTAGACCAGGCTGGCCTTGAACTCACAGAGATCCACCTGCCTCTGCCTCCACGCCCAGCCTTTATTTACTATTTTTATTTTATGTATATGAGTACATTGCCTGCATGTAAGTACACCCATGTCATGCAATGCCCTCAGAGGACAGAAGAAGCTGTTGGATCCCCTGGAACTGGAGTTTACAGACAGCTATTAGCTGCCATGTGGGTGCTGGGATACGAACTGGGTCTTCTGCAAGAACAGCCAGTGTTCTTAACTGTTGAGCTATCACTCCAACCCCCCCAAAATATAAAATTTTAAAAAAGGTACTCAGTGTAGAGTGGTGATGCTCAACAGATAGTTGTATAGACAATTCTGGAGCCAATACATGGTGGATCTATATATATAGTCTAAGAGGTCATTTTCAGTGATAGCAAATACTTTCAAAATGGGTTAAGAGCTCTAAGAACGTTACACGGTTACAAACCCAAGGATACTATATAATGAAACACCAAGTAGATGAGTTAGCAATGGAAAACAGGAATGGAACTGCCAAGAAATAGCAGCAAACAATTCCAAGATAAATCCAGAAATGTGGCTGGGGGTATGGTTCAGTGCAGAGTACTTATCTAGCATGAATGAGGTCCTGGGTTCAAGTCACAAACACCCCCTGCCCCCTTAACAAACTTAAAAATAAAGACTAGAAGAGATCTTTAGGCCAAAATAAATTATCACTACTTATTGATTTTCTGTGTGAAAGTAAGGCAGTGGAGAAGGAAAGGAAAAGTTGGAATGAAGGATGAAACATGGTCTTAGAAGACATAGTAAGTTCTAAGACTCAGGACTGTCCATTCATAGAAAAAGAAAGCCGCAGGATATATGTGGGTGAGAAGGTAGGTATGTTATCTGCTTAAGTGGAGTATACAAGGGTCTAGAGTACTACAGTGAGGACCTGGGTAAAGAATAAGAAAAAGAAAAGAGACAACAAATTGTCTTACTTAAGATGTGAGATAAGAACTTTCTTTAGTACTGTTCACCAACAAAGGAGGAGTCAACAACTGCAATTATTGCAAGATGAAGGGTATCTAAATATAAGCAGGATCTCTCTAAGCAAGAAAAGGTACATACTATAATGAGGTTTGATAAGAAGAAAAATAAAAAATGTGGCAATACACTGTAAGGGAGAGAAGGACTGAAAAGCATGGAGGTAGAAGGGACAAGAATAGTTAAGCCAGGCATGGTGGTACATACCTTCAGTCCCAGCACTTGGGAGGCAGAGGCAGGTAGATCTTTGTGAATTAGAGGCCAGCCTGGTCCACAGAGCAAGCTTGTAGGCCAGCTGGGGCTACATGGAGACCCTGTCTCAAAAAAATTATAGTTCAGAAAAGAGTAAGAAAATTCAGGGACAGGATGATGCTTGCAGAGAACAGGACTAAGACTTAAGAGGCAGAGGCCCAGATGTGACCAAAAATTTTTAAGTAGAATGATACAATGAAGTTAAAGATTCACATGTTCTTCCCCATTAAAATAAACACAGCAGCACTTGAAGAGTTTCCACGTGACAAAAAAAAAAAAATTAAAGGTGGTATCTATTATTTCGAATTAATGTTGATATAGGAAATTTTTTAATTTCAGGTATGTTGAAAAATATGTTAAACAAAATGGTTTTTTATCACTGTGTAGTTTTTCATTATCAATGACATCTATAAGCAAAAATTGTCACAGCATCTTTAAAAGGTAAACAGAGGGGCTGCGGAGATGGTTCAGCTGGCAAAGTGTGCAAGCATGGGGATCTGAGTTTGGATCTCGGGCACTCACATAAAGAGTCAGTTGTGGGCTGGAGAGATGGGCCAACAATTAAGAGCACTGGCTGCTCTTGCAGAAGACCGAGGTTCCATTCCCAGTCCCCACATGGTGGCTATTAACCACCTATAACTCCAGTTTGAGGGGATCTGACGCCCTCTTTTGGTCTCCTTAGGCACTGCATGCATATGTATACTTAAAACACATGCAGGTAAAACTCATACACAAAAAAAGCAGCCAGTTGTGGCAGACCACATCTGTAACTCCAACCCTGGAAGGGGTCGGGTGGAAACAGGTGGATCCCTGGAGCTCACTGACCAGCCACCCTAGCCAGTGGGTAGGCTTTAGGTTCAGTGAGAGACTCTGCCTCAAAAAAATAAGGTGAAGATGGGCTGAAGATATGGTGCAGCAGTTAAGAGCACTGGCTACTCTTGCACAGGACCCAGGTTCAGTTCCCAGCACCTACATGGTGACCAACAACCATCCATAACAGTTCCAGGGTATTCCAATACCCTCCTGACCTCTGTAGGCACTGCATGGCACAGGTGCACTTACATACACACACACAACACAGTCATACACATAAAATAATAATAAATAAAATATTTTTTAAAAATAAGGTGAAGGGGACTGGAGAGAGGCTCAGGGGGGACTGAGATGGCTCAGTGTATTAAGAGTATTACTGTTTTTCCAGAGGACCCAGGTTCATTTTCCAACACCCACATGGTAGCTAACACAGATCCTTAACTCCAGATCTGGGGGATTCAACATCCTCTTCTGGCCTCCTCAGGCACCAAGTAGACATGTAGTGCACTTATATACATGCTGGCAAAACTCATATATATAAAATAAAAATAAATAAAATAATTAAAGGGCTGCAGAGTTGGCTCTGTTGTTTAGAGCTCTGGCTGCTCTTGCACTGGCCCTAGGTTTGGTTCCCAGCACCCACATGGCAGCTAACAACTGTCCATAACTGCAGTTCCAGGGAATTCAACATCTTCTTCTGGCCTCTGTGAGCACTGCATACATGTGATGAATTTACATACATACAGGCAACACACTCATATATATAAAATAAAAATATTTTTAAAAATAAAATCTTTAATTAAAAAAATCCATAAGCATTAAGCAGAATTAAAAAAGTCAGAGACTGAAAATGACAAAGACACCTGAAGTTGATCTCTGGCCTTCACATACTCATGTGTGCTCATTAGCATGTGCCACATGCACACAAGCAACATATATACACAGAGAAAAATAAAAAGCAATTTGATAATATTTGCCAAGATCTAAAGTGCATATATTTTTTGATCTAGCAATTCTGCTCTTTTAAAATTAAATTACTTAGGCCAGCAAAATAGCTCAGTGGGCAAAAGATTGATGACCCGAGTTCAATCTCCAGAACCTATACGGTAGAAGGGAGGAACCACTCCTACAAGCTAGTCTCTGACCTCCATATGTGCACTGTGGCAAGTGCATGCATGCATATATATATATACACACACACACACATATATATACACATATATATACATATATATGTATATATATATGGGGGCATACATGCTTGTACACTGAATATAAAAACATTTAAAAATAAACTTACATGAACACGTGTACACAGATAAATGTACAAGGCTGCTTACTACAGGATGTTCGGCAATAGCGACATCTAGCAAAAACCTAGTGTTTATGAAGAGTTATAGACATATCCATGTACTAAAATATTATGGGGACATAATAAAAGAAAACCAAACATTCATAAATGTTTCCTTTTTTTAAAAGAAATGACTGCAGGCTGAATCTGGCAGCACATGCCTATAATCTCAGCACATGAGAGGCTGAGGCAAAAAGATCTTAAGTTTGAGGCCAGTCTAGGCTACTTAATGTGACCTTGCCTCAAAACCTGCAATATTCCAACCTCTCCCCATCACTGAATCTATAATCAGCCTTTAGTTCACAAAAGTGAGGCCCTGTCTCAAAAAACAAACAACGAAGCTCCCAAATTGAAAAAAAAAAAAAAAAAAAAAGAGAAGACAGGACTGGAGAGAGCTCAGTGGTTAAGAGTACAAGCTACTCTTAACACAGGATCAGAGTTCAGTTCCTGGCATCCATGTTGAGTGGTTCACAACCTCTGTAACTCCAGCTCAGGTGATCTGATGTCCCTGGTCTCCATGGGTACACACACTCAAAAAAAAAAATAAAATAAAATAAAAACAAACAAAAAACAACAACAAAAAACCAAGACTCCTAAAGAAATTAAACAGTATAAATCTGTGGTCTTTTTGTTTTCCCAAAGTACGTGTGGTAAGAATATGCCTGAAGGTTAAAGGCAAATGATCTACCACTGAGCCTTAACCCTGCCTTTGAAAAAAAAAAAAAAGGAAAAGGTAGTGCTAGGTGTTTAATCCTTGGCATGCCTATGTATAATGCTCTACTGCTAAGCCATGTAGCTGCTTTTGGAGAGATCTAGTTAAGTAGGAAAGACTCACTTTTCACTGCATACCACTTGAGTTGTTTCTATTTAAAAATTAGTTTAAATAAGCTGAGTGAAATCTAGAGATAGCAACAGATTCACTTAGTTTTCCAGATGTGAACTGTTAGTTTTCAGAGAGCTTTCACCATCTTGTTACACCTGTAGAGTAGGTACCATTACCCTTAATACAAAGAAATCACTTCCGTATAGTGAGCAGTGTCAGTCATCAGCTGGCAAATGTTAGGACTGGAGCCACAATTGAATTGTGACTTTTAGACCCACATACTTTCTGATTTTATACCTCATTCTTGGAAACTAGGAAGAAGCTATCTGAAAACAAGGTCATATCAAGGCTCTTTTCTACTGTAGGCCCCTCAGGTAGAGCTGCAAAACAGAACTGGTATTCTCCTTCCCTCCTTAAGAGCTTACCCTTTGATGCCTTTGCAAGTCACCCAATCATGTGGTTACTCCAACAGAAAGATATCTCTCTTTCACCCTCAAATCTCAATGATCACCAAATCCTGTGGATCCTGCCTACTTACTGTTACTCAAACCACCACCCTTTTCCATTACTGCTGCCTTTACCTCAACTCCCAGTCTTACTTTGATTTCTCCAAAAGATTCCTCATTATAGCCAGGTTTTATTCCACACCCATCTATTTTTGCCAGTCACCTCCCTAAACCAAAAATCTGATCAATTTGCTTCTAGAAAGTCTAGAAAACAAAATTTAGTTTGCTTATATTCTAAACTAATCTTATATTGAGCATATGGTTCTAGAATTGTTAAGAATTAGCCAAGCTGTTACTTAAGTCATCACAAATCACCTTGAGAGCAAAGAAAGACAAAGAATAAATTACTTCAGCTCTATTATTCATTCTGCTAACACCAAATGAAAAAGCACAGGACATTAAAAAGAAAATCTCATCACTCCCACATTCACTTGCAGATACCCTATATTGATGCCCAGTGCATGCCATGTGGCCTACCCTAACAATCTCTTTGGCCATATTTCTATATCTTCCTCTACTGAGTCAATCCTGGAGTCATATGCCCCTCGATTAGTGATGCAAACAACTTGCTTCTATTTTTTCCTCTATGCCCGTGTATGTTTCTTTTCTTTGCTTGGAAACCTGTTACTAGACTAACTTTGTTTCCGTGATAACAGTCATTACCCCTAGGGTTGAACGGTACAGGATAACACATTTTCTGAATCTACCTGGTTCCTCAAAATTTTAAGTAGTGTACTGCAAGTGACTTTGGACAGCGATCTATTTTAAAAAACCACCACCAGAAACTGTCCAAATTCCAGCATCAAAGAAAAACATTTTCAGTGGTATAGATACTTATGTTATATTTCCGGTGCCAATCACCCAAACAGCTTTACTCACTATAAGTAACAAGGATCTGGGTACAAGTGTCTAGGAATCTAACACTTAGCAGGTCTTAGTAACTGTTCTTTCCATACTCTTGTTACAGTGGGCTTAGGACCTACTAAAAATAGAAGTCACTGATGGTAGGTCCTATGCTTGCTTAGATCTAGCAAGGAATGCTTGGACAGTAAAAGCAAAGACAAGAAATTTAACAGAAAGAAAAATTAGTAATAGGAGCTACAGAACTATGATGGCCAGAGGTAGATTTCCTCCTTAGGACTTCTCCCCTCAGGCATGGAATGGCTCTCATGAAAGGAGAGTATAAAGCCATTATTAACTCTCAGCTCCTCTGGCTGTAGACCAGTCCTGACACATGTGACACTGAGAGGTGGAGATAGATGGATATATACTGAGTAGCTAATGGATGAAAACAGATGATTAGGGCTGGGGAGATGGCTCGGTTGGTACACTGCTTGCCACATAAGCATGAATTTGGATCCCCAGAGCCCATATAAAAAGCTGAGTGACAGTTTGGGCATGTAATCCCATGGGGGTGGTGGGGAGAGGGACAGACATGGCCTGGTAGGCAGATCCCTGAAGCCCACTGGCCAACCTAGCAGAATTGATGAGCTTCAGGTTTAGTGACTCAAAAAATACAGTGGAGAGCAATCAAGGAATGACACTCATTATTGATCTCTGATCCACATGCCCACGTGTAACAGTCACACTAACAACTACATACACACCACACACACATGGGCACACATTAAATGTATGTATACCCTCCACACAAAGGAAAAAAATATAAAAACATGTTGATTGCTTGTAAATATATTTATCTATGTAACATATTAACATAAGTATAAAAATAAGAAGAGCAAAGTCACACTATTAACTAGGATTTAATAATTTATGGTTCTTAGCATATAAACTATAAACTACGTTTCACATATTTCTTTGAAAATATAAAAAGTGCAAAGGCATAAGGGTAATAATCTTTCAAAGTTGTCAATGATTTGCATTTAAAGCATCAAATATTTCAACAAATCAATGTGTGCAGTCTGCTCATTAGAAAACACGGGAACAAACAGGATTTAAACTTCAAGTGAATGCAGAAATAAATATTCTTTAAATATAAAGTATTTGCTAATTACCTGTATGTTTTCGTAGATGCTCTTTAAAATGTCCAAAGTGGTCAAACTGTTTCTCACAGTATTGACATACGTGAATTTTTTTCCCAGTTCTTTGCTTCTTACTGACTCCACCTTCTTCAAGGTGGTAGCAATTTAGGTGTTGTTTCCATGCACTCTCTCGAAGATACCTTTTATTGCATATTTCACATTTAAAACTTTCAGTGGAGTGTGATTTCATGTGTTCCTTAAAATGGTAAAACAATTTAAATGAACGGTTACATTTCTCACAATGGAACAAGTCCTTCACATGTGACAGCTGAAGTTCCACAATTTCAATACCTTCTACCTGTTTGCTTAGGGGGTCAGATGCATCTTCCTGAATCTGTCCTTTTCTTTCACCTTGACGGTACTTGCTGGTGATATCCGCCAACAGTGCTAGAGCGGAATCGTCAGAGGAACCTGTGCTTTGTATGTACTTTATGCATTGCTTGTCAGAAGCCACTTCTTCTAATGTTTCAATACCTTCATCTTCTACTTCAATTGTGCCTTCAGCAATCTCCACCTCAATTTCAACAGGTTCTGATTCTGCAGACGGCAATGATTCAGTGATAACATTTGAAGTTTCTGCAATCTTTCTTTTTTTGGCCTCATTTTTTCCTGTGGTGTTTTCCTCTAATGGAGCTGCATTTTCTTTGTTTCTGAAATATATAAAGTAGGAGTTTTTTAAATCTGTAAAATGGAACTCAGACCTTTGAAGAACCTGATAAGACTAGTAAAATTTATATGTAAGGGCAGCGAACAAAACTGAGCATCCTATACTGACCAATTTTAAGATTTCCTAAAAGCTGTAACAAGACGAAGATACTGGTCAAAGGATGCGAACTTTAATGAAACAGAATCAAGTCCCCAGACAGACAGATATAGAATAAACTAACTTTTGAGAACAACCTTCAGAGTAATTCAATAGAGAAAAAAGAATCTTTTAAAAGTGGTGGTGCTGGAATAGCTAGTATCTGTAAGGGAAAATAAGCATCAATCTGTAACTCATACCAAAAAAATTAACTCTTAAATGGATCACAGACTAAAATGCAAGAACTAAAATTATTTGATTTCTAGAAAATGGGAAAAAAATCTTAGTGACAGGCCTGCCCATAGCTGCCCTTCCACCTCCAATCTTTATGTTGAAACTACACAGAACCCTAAGAGATGATATTGTAACAGGGCAGGCAGCAAATGTCCAGGGTGTGAAGTAATCATGGTACAAATCAAACCTGAGACAAGCCAAAATTGTACAAAACTGTATCCTCAATTAGAAAGCAGTACGGAGGAGGGCCTGCTAAATCAAGGAGCCCCCACACATGAAGCAAATATTGTCGGAAGTAATAACCTTGCTGTTGACTGAGGTCTTTGAGTGGGCTGGAAACACTAGTGATTTGTTTGTGGTCAAGGCACATGCAGCGTCTATGCTGCCTGAAACAAAAGAAAATGTGCCTTGCTTACTGGCATAGACTCACTGTCTTCTACATCTCTGCCACTACCTTCCCATCCCCTCTATCTCCATTTTAGCTGCTTTAAGGAGAAACAGTGCCAGAGCCAAAGTCTCCCGGCACACAATGGGGACTAAAAGCAATACATATGCATCCAATTATGGCAAAAGGAACTTAGGCAAAAGGAGGAAGACTCTATTCAAAGATTACTCTTTGGGTTTTGGGTTTGACTCTAGACACAACTATAAGAAACAATTAGCTTGCTCCTGGTCACTTAATTGAAACTGATGTTCAAGTCATGGAATTCCAGTCTCAAAGCTCCATTTTGTGTGTGAGTCAACCAGACTTTGTGACTAATAAGAAGCATCCAACAAGTATCTGTCAAGCAAAAATGGTTAAAAAGGACCTGGCACTTTGGATTTATATGAACAAGTGGCAGCTCTCCCCACTGTTGCATAAAGCAAAGCCATTAGCTTGTAAAGTCCGTGATTCACAGGCAGCCTGGATAAACTGAAATGTCATGGTGTCTCTGGCTTGTTGCAGGCATTTGGCCTCAACACCAACTACAAAAGCCCAAAGTGAACATTGCAGCTGTGTTTGGCAAGTGGAAGTCTAGGCTTTCTTCGTAACTCTGGTCAACATTCCCCATGATTTCTCTTGCTATATTTTTACTGACACATAGGCTATTGCCAATGGTCTAGCTTTTTGATCTGTTAACTTGGAAGGAAGGCATAACAAATCGAAGACACCTACTTCCAGAGCCACAAGGACTGGGGGAAAAGAGCAGCTGCTGCAACTTTCTGGGTGTTTAGATGCCTGTTTGACAAATGGCTGTTCTCCAATGAGATCAACTGCAATTGGTTGCTGGAAGGAGCCTATTAAGCATGCCAGCATTACCCACATTGCCACTGTTAATGCCTAGATCCAGTATTATTTTGGATGTGTTAATACATTCACCATCACAAACTGGTCTCAAAGTAAAAGACCCTCTTTTATGTCACTTCATGCCTGACTTCAGGTGTCTACTAAGAGTTTGTTTGTTTCACAGTGATGAAGACAAACCATGCAGGATGTTTGGTTACTTACAAACTGACACTGAATCTTTGACTTCACCTCAGGACTATCTACGGTGGCTTTATCACCACTGTTCTTTTTCAGGTTGAACGTTGCTTTAATCTGATCAGCTATATGAGGTCCATGAAAACCATGTATGTCATCTGTTTAGCTTCCTGGACTATCTGCAGTCTGAGAATGGAGCATCTTTTATCACCAAAACTATGAATAACTGACTAATTATAAAGTACTGATGGGGGTCTGGAGAGGTGGCTCAGCGGTAAAGAGCACTGGCTGCCCCTGCAGAAGACTGGGATTCAAATCCTAGTACCCACATGGCGGCTAACAATCATCTGTAACTCCAGTTTCGAGGAATCTGATACCCTCTTCTGACCTCCACAGGTATTGTACAACACAGGTGCATTTACAAACATGCAGGCAATACACTCATATACATAAAATAAAAAAGATATTTTAATAAAGTACTGACAGATCTCTCCTGTTTCCTATCACCCACAGATACCGATTTGCAGAGTATTACAATAGCCTTCTCAAACACTGACTCAAAAAGATTTTCCACTCTATTTCCCTGACCTCCTCCTTGTCCAAAAATCTGAGTAAGGCAGGCTGGTCACCAAGTTCAGTTGTCCCCCAAAAGAGATAATGTGTTCTCAGCTGCTTCCTGAGAGATGATGGAAAAAAGATGGGAAGCGTATAGAAACCTAATTAGAAAATTTAGGATTCTGTCTGTACATTCTTAGATATGACCTTTTTTCCTCACCAGCAATTCTGGGACAGTAAGGCTGATATCTCTTCCAGGAGATAGTCATATAGGCTTAACAGATTCAAATATAATTCTACTTCAGTCATCTGGATTCTCTTGTTAGAATGATTGCATTTTGTATCATAAGAAGAACCACCTGACCAAGAACATTTACAATGGTTACATGTGAGGCCAGGTGGTATGAGGAGTGGATGACTGAAAAAGAGTTAAGTTATAGTTACAAGGACAGGACATTAATTTTGTAGAGGTGGAGGGAAAGCAACAACTCTAGCACCTACATCCTAGGAGGTATTGGGGTGGGAGAAACGTTCACAATTTGTCTTCTAGAACCTGGGACATGACATAGACAACTGTCACTCAGTTGGCATTCAGGAGGTACTTGTGATAAAGACAAAACTGACTGTCTTCAGACAGTCCCTCCAAAAACTAAAAATAGACCCAATCATTCTAACTGAATTGGGAAAGGGACTATCACATTGGAGGCAATGTCAACCTGTGTCACTAACTGATATAGTTGTCAGATTTGTGGGTACAAACAATTTTTAAAAAATTATTTTTTTAGTAACCATATAATTAGAAGAAGCATTTCATTACAACAGCATTGACATATTCAATAACTTCCATGGGTACAAACAATTTTTAAAAAATTATTTTTTTAATAACCACATAATTAGAAGAAGCATTTCATTACAGCTTTAACATATTCAGTAACACATTCCAGAGCAAGGATACATCTCTTTCAAAGTTGGCTGTAAATTTTTAGGTTCATAGTTGAATTAATACAGTCATACAATATTGAGCTCAGAATAAACCCTACAAATTTCATGATTTGTCTTAATGCATTTTCTCTTCAACATAAAGTACTCCACTTAGGTAGAGACTTTTATTATCCCATTTCATGGGTGAAGAACTGAGGGACCGAAAGGCTATATAACTTACCCAAAATAGTAAGTATTGGACCTAGGATTCGAACTACACATCCTAGCTGCAAAGTTCACATTCTTGACCAA